CCTGGGGCAGGAAGGACCCAGAGCCCAGTACCCTGAGAGTGCTCAGCCAATGTGTGATGGGCATGAAAGTGTGGGTGGGTGAGGGATAATGAGACAGTGGGTGACTAAGTTATCTCTGAACTTTCCTAGGCCCAGATCATAGTGGAGCCGGGGCCCCCTGGCCCTCCTGGGCCCCCAGGCCCCATGGTAAGTATGGGGTGGCTTGAATCAGCCAGGATACCAAGAGGGTGGGGAATTCAGGCCCCAGAGCCAGGGGAGGACAGGCATCTCATGGGGGTAGCCTAGCATGTCCAGCAAAAAGGCCAGAGCCCAAATCATGGCCACAGGGGCCAGAGAATGGCCTGAATCCTTTGTGGCCACTACAGTCATACCCTGACCTTGAGGTCTAGACCCAGCTGGACAGACATTCTGATCTGTTCTCTCCTCTCTCTTCCAGGGCCTTCAGGGAGTTCAGGGTCCCAAGGTAAGTGGGTATAAACCTCCTACTCACCTCAGACTCATAGCCTGGGCAGCATCAAAAGCCCTTCTGATAGGCCAAGTGAGGAACACATACCCAGCCTGAGCCCCAGCCCTGGGTCTTCCCAGTGTCTGAACATTCCAAATCTCAGGAGTGCAACCTCCCTGATGTCCTCAGGCCTGATGCTGCCCCACCCCTACTTGGGGCTCTTTTACTTTGCCCTCCACCTTGGACCCAGTCTGTCTCTCTCCTCCTCTGGTCCATCTCCCGCTGTTTCTACCTCCTCACCTTCTCCACCTTTCTCTGCCTCTCCCACCACGTCCCCCATGCACATCTGTCTCCCAACTGCCCACAGCCTGAACATGAAGTTTCATGTTAGAGTTGGTGTATATTACATAATGTCATGTTCTATGCCCTTAAATTAAAACTGCAAGTGTGGCCTGCCTGTGCCCTCTGCCCCAAGGAGGCAGACATAGAAAGGAAGGCCATCTGGCCTTGCACCTTGGTGCACCGGGCCTCACCCTAAGGAAGAGCATATTTCTGCTTCCCTAGCTTATAGGCAGGATGGGGGAATCCCAGTCCTGAGTGGGCTCAGGCATGCGTCCTAAGCAGGTGCACTGCTTCTTGTTCTATTTTCTCCCAAGGCCTCGCCAGTATTTTGAAGAGGCAAGTGTTGTCAGGGACAGGTCCGAGGCTAGAGTTCAGAACCTGATTGGTACTCAACCCTGCCTCCTCGCTTCTCAGTTGTATAGGGACCCCGTCCCTGTCCCTCTCTGCGCTTCCTTTCCTCATCTGTGCAATGGGGTGACCACAACTACCTTCCATGATTACTGAGGGAGCTAGAGTTTGGGAAGGTGAAATGTGCATGCCCGTACTTCATTCTGATTATCCTCACCATGGAGGGAGCTGGGCCCAGGCCGTGGGAGCCAGGATCTCTCCCTCTGCCATGCACACCAGCTCCCATGCAGGCCCTAAGCTGTCTGTCCAACCCCTTCTCCTTAATTTCACCCTTTGCTTCCAGGGCTCAGATGGAGCAAAAGGAGAGAAGGGCACATCAGGCGAGAGAGGCCCCAGCGGCCTGCCTGTGAGTGTTACCACCTTATTTGTCCCTAGACGTTTACTCCTGTAACTGGCTTGCCTTTTGACCCAGTCCTTTTCTGTCCAGGGGCCTGTTGGCCCACCGGGCCTTATTGGGCTACCAGGAACCAAAGGAGAAAAGGTAACCACCTTGCTCAAATCCCCTCCCCAACTATGGCCACATGTCTACAGTGTCACTCAGGTCTGGGTGCTCAACCCTGTACCTCATGGGGTCCCTGCATGTCACAGGGCCAGAGTTCAGGCTCTGTGGATGCAATGTCTGCTCTGTCCTCTGTGCCTGCATGGTTGGTGGGTCTCCCTACCCCTGTGTCTTTGGCCATCACACAGGGTTGAACTTCCCAGCAGCTCTGCTCCCAGTATCCCCCTCCTCCAGCATCTCTCACCCTCTGTGTCTCTTCTCAGGGCAGACCTGGGGAGCCAGGACTAGATGTAAGTGTCTCAACTTTTAGTGTTCTGGTACCTCCTGTGTGTATCTTCTGCTCATACATAACTGTATCTGGCTAGCTCAAGCATGACCCACCTTCCCAGGGTTGGGACTGAAACTTTCCTCATTCCCACTGTGTTCACAGTGCCAAGTGCAGTGGACAGCCCGCAGTTGGTGCTTTATGGAAGGATGAATGGATTGTTGATGGATGGGGGATTGATGGATGGATGAATGGATAATGAATGGTGGATGGATGGATAACGGATAGACAGAAGGAAGGATGGATGGATGAAGGGACGAAGGATGGATGATGCATTGTAACAAGGCATTGGGGATTTCAGTTAGGAGCCTATTGCAATACCGTGGTGACACACGATAAGGCTAGAGCAGTATAATGAGAAGGAAAGAAAGGGAAGCGTTAGCCCAACGTTGAATGCATCAAGTCTCTTTTGGTAACATAGGTAGAAAACATATTAAACTGGCCGATAATTACTTATAACTGAAAAGTACAGAGGTTCACATGTGGATCTTTGTCTCTGCTTGCCCTGGTGGGAATCATTCCCAAGCTCCATATAGTAGTGAGGTGAAGCCTGCAGCTCCAAACCTGCATCCTCCCAGCCCCAAACCCAGAAGAAAGAATATTTGCCTAACTCAAGCTTTCTAGAGACAGTCTCATGGAGTCTTACTGGCCCCACATAGGTCAACACTAAACCATCACTTTGCCACAGGAATGCAAGGCCTGATCACATGCTCAGCCCTGGAGGTGGAGCCAATGGATTATGAGAAGGGAGGTGGATCCCAGGAAAATCAATAGCTATTTCGAGGGACACAGCAACAGTTGCAGGGCTACAAGGACTCTTGACTTTAAAAAGAGAAGGTCACCTTCAAGAGCAACTGTGGACAAGGAAAAGGAACGGGCTGGGTTTCTGACGTGGAAGGCTGTGTTCATACCATTACGGAGAAGAGACAGGAGAAGACAAGCTTGACTCCAGTTCAGGATGCAGTTGGGAGCTGAGCTAAAGCGACCCCATGTTTCCATGAATATGGCCACAGCTACCTGCTAGGAAGCCAGAAGCTCAGCATGCTGTCACAAAGTCATCCCCATCTGCTCTGCCTGGCAAACCCTGGGACCCTCCTTCAGCTCCATTAGGCCCCGCTGAAATAAGGATCCTCCTCTGATCAGAAGCAAGCTTCCCTTTAACCTCCAGCCCTGAATAAAACAGCTCTTCCCTCCACCACTCTGCCACCTTTGTTTCATGCCACTGTCATGATGATGAGCATTGACTATAATTAGCACTCTTGCCTGCCCTGTTAGACATGAGGGAATGAACATGTCAAACCCCTTTCTCTGTCTCCAGTGTCCAACCTAGTTCCTAGTGGATGCTGGACAGATGGTTGGATGAATGGACAGATAGATGAGTGACAAGAAATTGAGCCAAGGGCACAGAATAGAGGTCACTATTTCTCATATGTCAAGATGTTGACATAACTAACTTCCATGGGCTTCTGGGGTCTCTGTGCCCAGCCAAGCCTAGGCCAGTGCAGCAGGATCTGACTGTGATGGGAAAGGAAGCTCCTTGCTGGCAGCTCTGCCTGAGGGCTCCCATCCAGACACTGACAGTGGTCTATTTTGAAGGGAATAGAGCTGGTTTCCTAACTGTATGCTCTTCTCTATATCGGCCTGATACCCAGCACATGTGTCACCTAATAGTTGGGGCCAGGCCAGCTTATGCCACAAAAATGCATGGAGGGAGGAGGTGGGGTGGATGCAAGAGCAGCAGGGACAAGCAGATAACAGAGGGGCAAATCTCTAACCTCATGTTCAGCCTTAACCTTGAATCCTTTTGTCAGGGTTTCCCTGGACCCCGAGGTGAAAAAGGTGACCGGAGTGAGCGTGGAGAAAAGGTAGGGCCAGGAGGACAGGAACCAGGGGTTGGGAGATAGGAGGAGGGAGGCAGGGAGAAGGGACAGGAGCTGGGGGGAGGGGAGGAGGAGAACAGGAGGAGGAAGCAAGTGGAGAGAAGCAGGTTTCACAGGGAGGAGGTGGGAGGAGGCTTGCGCTGAAGCATCAGGGCCAGGTGGCTTACACAGTTGTTGAAGTGTTGGAGGGGTAATACCATCATCTCTCCTCTTAATGCAGGGAGAACGAGGGGTCCCCGGCCGTAAAGGAGTGAAGGGCCAGAAGGGTGAGCCAGGACCGCCAGGCCTGGACCAGCCGTGTCCTGTGGTATGTGTTGGAGCTGGATGGTGGCCCCACCCCAGATCTTTTCAGTCCCTGCCCAGGGGCAGGCCAACATCTTCCCTGTCCTCAGCGCTCAGCTGCAAGTCTCAAGCCCCACTGGCTCTGCACCAGCACACCCACACTGCCGGGGCCACTGCTGCTTTTACTGCTGCTGCCACCATCATCCTTGCTCCCCTGGCCCTGGACCTGACTGCTCACCATAGGCATGGTTCAGGGACCCAGCCCCTCTGCAGAACGGGAGGCCTGGCTTGAGTGGGGACCCTTCCTTAGACTTCTTGGGTAGGGCGTGGAAAGGGGCTATACCAGACTGAGGGCTGGCTTTCCTTGGAACTGTAATGTCAGGGGCACCCAAGAGGTGCTAGGGCCTAGGGAGGGAAGTCCAGTTGGCATAGGCAAGCTGCTGAGTACAGGGACAGTGCCTGACCTGTCATCCTTATTTCCCAAGTCCATAGTCTGGGTCCAACCCCCTCTGAGCTTGAGGCCAGGCAGGGCTAGAACTCAGCTTCCCCACCTTGGAGGGGTGGGACCCACTGACTTCTCTGGTTGTGTCCCTTCTCTTCCTTCCCACTTCCCAAAAGAGCCTTTCTCTTGGCTAGGGATGCCCCAGGCCCTTCCCCATATCCCCACATGTGTTCTGGGCCCCTTTCTGCTACCCTGTCCTGGGAGCCCTCTGTAGCCCACCAGAGCCAGAGCCTGGCACAACCAAACTTCAGCTCCTTTTTCTAGAAGTCAGGGAGGGTTTACACGTCATGTTCTCCCAGTGGAGCCCAGAAGAAAAAAGCAAAACAGCTGGTTTTTCATACTAAAACTGGCCAGATGCCCATACCTGGACACCCTGGCTGGGGGCCCAGGGAGAAGGGACTCCAGCTGCAACATGAGCAAACTGCCCTCACCCTCTGGAGAGCGTCAGGGCCAGGGACCCTCCCCAATTGCTCCCAACGAGTCATATTAGCCCACTGTTCCTCAGTTTCCTCATCCATGCAGTGGCATGGGAACCCCTCACTCCAGAGGTTTTAAGAAGTAAATGAGGAAAAAAAAACATGGAGAGCAGCGTGGGCAGCACGTAGAAAGGGCTGGGGCAGCAGGGCAGGACCTCCCTCCAAGTCAGTAAACCGTTGTCTCCTTTGAAACAGGAGAATCTTACATGCAGGGGCCAGCGAGGGCCTCCAGGCTGGCTCAGCCTGGCAAGGGGCACTGGGCCCTCCCCTGCAGTAGGCTGTCTGGCCTGCTATGTGCTGTGTGCTGTGAGGCCTTCTGGGTGGCCAGGGCCTCTGCTCTGCCCCACCCTCCCTGCCTTCAGCCTTCCTCCCCATTCTGCCCTCCTCCATCCCTTCCCTTTGGTCCCCACCCTGTGCCCCAGCATACATATGGGAATGTTCCAGGGAGTATGCTCTATGTATCTGAGGCCCGTTGTCTGTCTGTGCTTTGAAATAGCATGAAGTGTTTCCTGCCCCAGGCTGATGCCCCTAGTCTTTGTCCCTTTCTAGGTTCCCCACCCTTCAGGCTGCCTGCAGAAGCCTGCCCCTGCTTGTGTTCCATTGCTTGAGTGGCATGGCCAATGCTGCCAGATAGCCCCACCCCCCATGCTCATTTCCACCCTGATAACCTAAGCCTCCCTGTCCTCTGCTCAGATCCCATCACAGGGGCAGGGCAGGCAGTGCGGGATACACCTCTTGGAGGCATTACTGCCCAAAGCCTGAAAGCTCTCAGGTCCCCAGGGTGAGGGGTCCAAGCCATTGGCACTGCTGCCAGGCAGGAGGCCACAGAGCCCTGGGCAGGGCCCAGACCAGGGCACCCTCGTGGCTAGTAAGTCTGGCATAACACCTATTCTTTCCTAGTGCCCTCTGTTTCTGCACACTGCACAGGGGGCCCAACAAAGCACACAGGCGGATGCACTCAGGACAAAATCAGTGAGGGGCCATCATTACCAATGACTCTGCTGCCTGGGTGGACAGATGTGGCATTTCCTGGACTGCATCTCCCCATAGACCAGAGAAGGGGTATGTGGTATTTTAAGGAGCTGGCCAGACCCCAGTACCTGCCACTGAAACCTTTTTCTTTCCAGGGCCCCGACGGGCTGCCGGTGCCTGGCTGCTGGCATAAGGTACCTTGAAGGGAAGAGTCTCTCAGTCAGGCTCAGGGGAGTGGGGAGAACACAGGGGTAGAAGGGCTTACTCGGCATTCTGGGTGTCTGCAGCACTCTCCTGCATCCTTCTTTTTTTTATTTTTAATTTTATTTGTTGGGACAGAGTCTTATTTTGTCACCTGGTAGAGTCCTGTGGGGTCATAGCTCACAGCAACCTCAAACTCTTGGGCTCAAGCCATTCTCTTGGCTCAGCCTCCCGAGTAGCTGGGACTACAGGCGCCCACTACAATGCCCAGCTATTTTTAGAGATAGAGTCTTCCTCTTGCTCAGGCTGGTCTCAACCCTGTGAGCTTAGGCAATGTACCTGCCTCAGCCTCCCAGAATGCTAGGAATACAGGTGTGAGCCACCGTACCCAGCCCCTTCTTTTTTTTTAGACAGTCTCACTTTGTTGCCTGGGTTAGAGTGTCAGCCTAGCTCACAGCAATCTCAAACTCCTGGGTTCAAGTGATCCTCCTGCCTTAGCCTCCCAAGTAGCTGGGACCACAGGTACCCATCACAGCACCCAGTTAACTTTTCTATTTCTAGCAGAGACAGGGTCTTGCTCTTGCTCAGGCTGGTCTCAAACTCCTGAACTAAGGTGATCCTCCTGCCTCAGCCTCCCAGAGTGCTAGGATCACAGGCATGAGCTACCAGACCTGGCCGGGTTTTCCTTTCTTGACCCTGATTTTGACTCTCCCATCTTGTGGCTGACGCCTGGGGCTGAGGTCCTGGGTGATTTGTCTGTAACCCACCTGTTGGCCACACGAAACTCAGTTGACACCTGGCCCAGCTGGTGTAAAGCCATCAGTGCCTCCTTGGATTTTGTCCAAATGGCCCTGCTGAGAGGGAATGGTGATAGAGAAAAGAGGGGAAGGAAAGGAGGGACAGCAGGAGTTCCTGAGGAAATGGGCAGATGGGGGCTGCCAGAGCAGAGTGGCCAAGATGGGAGCGGAGCCTCCAGGCCTCTTGGGCCCCCCATCACCTTCAGTCTCTCCTCCTTTTCCAGTGACCCTCCAATGCAGCTCACACCTATACAGATCTGTGTGGACATTTTTAATTTTTATAAAAACAAAACAATAATATATTGATCTTTTTTCATGGGATGTGCCACCTGTGGCCTTTTAACATTTGAGAGTATGCCTACCCAGCGCCAGAATCAGCATGTGAAGCTGCAGGAAAGTGGACAGGCCAATCTGGGGAAAATGTGCACCTGAGAGGCACCCACGGGACTTGGCTTTCTCAGAAAGGAGACAAGGGTGAAAGCACCTGCTCAGGTGAGGCTGGAAAGATCCTGGGTTGGGCCTTCAGACAGCTGATTAGTGGAGGGACTTACAGCTGTGGCACTGCCCTGCAAGAACCGCCCCCTGAAGCTCTGGAGCCTCTGGGACACACTCCAACCAAGAAGGTCCAGGGCTTGGACCCAGTTGCAACCAGCTGCCCATGCCCTCTGGTCCCCCTGGACAAGACTCCCACCAAGCACTTGCAGCTGGACCCAGGAGACAGTCAGGAGATAGCATCATGGAGGGTCCAGCTCCTGCCACGTTCAGCAGGCCTCAGAAAGCCACCCTGCCATGAGAACACACATCCTCTGGCCAGGATTAGTGTGGTCAAGCTCTGTGATTGCTGCAATGTGTACCTAGCTGCAGTGGTCCCCAAATGTCGGGAACAGAGGGTCCCAGTCTGGATTGGCTTCTAATTTCCTGCCTCTGTGTCCAATTACCCTGAGCAGAGACAGGATGGGACCTTACCTGGCCTGAGCAGGCTGGCCTCCAGCTCAGAGTTTGGGTCTCACTGGCCCCAAGTCTCCCTCCCAGAACTGGTCAGCCTACAAAAATGGTCCTCTTGGTGAGTCCTGCAGACAAAGTGAACTTCAGGCTGGTTCCCAGCTGGCCTAAGCGGGGGGGTGCGACTAGAGCCACCTATGCTATGACAAGAGGCTTTTCCATCTCTAGAAAGCATTCCCAGCAAGCAGCTCTGTCTAGCTACTTGCCTGCCATTTCTGTGTTGATGGATATTGCTGTGTGTAATAAACCACAAATGTGTGTCTGGGTGTGCCTGTCCTTGTGGATTGCCACTGTAGCATCTCTGCTAAAGTTTTCATTCTGGCCATTGCTGGGTAGGAAGAGAGAAGGAAGCTCTCCCTGCATCAGAGCCATCCCAGAAACCAGAGGAGGTAGTTCAGGATTTGAAGTTAGCAAGATGCAGATTCAAGGACACATAGCAGCTGAATACTCTGGCCAGTCACTTCATGTCACTAAGCCCCCAGGTGCTCCTTTATGATGATTATCAGACTGTAACAAATCATCCCAAACTTTTTCATCTAAAAACAATGATAATTTCCGGGCCACACCTGTGGCCCAGTGGGTAGGGCACCAGCCCCATATACCAAGGGAGGTGGGTTCAAATGTGGCCTCAGCCAAACTGCAACAAAAAAATAGCCGGGCGTTGTGGTGGGCACCTGTAATCCCAGCTACTCGGGAGGCTGAGGCAAGAGAATCGCCTAAGCCCAGGAATTGGAGGTTGCTGTGAGCTGTGTGATGCCATGGCACTCTACCGATGGCAATAAAGTGAGACTCTTGTCTCTACAAAAAAAAAAAAAAAATGATAATTTCTGTTTATTACAGATTTGGGGGTTGATGGGCTTAAGTTCTCCCATGTATGTTGGTTGATGCTGGCTGTAGCTGGGGCCTCAACTGGCCAGAACACCTACCTGTGGCCTTGTCATGTGGCCTGGGCTTCCTCACAGAATGGTGGCTGGATTCTAAGGGTGAATACCCCAGGTGAACCAAGCACAAGCTATGGCACCTGTTATGGCCAAGCCTCAGTGTCATCCAGTGTCACTTTCTGCCAGATTAAAGGGCAGAGAGAGAGACCCTACCTCTGAATGGGAGAAGTGTCAGCATCATATTTTAAGAAGAAAATGTGGAATAGAAGATCTTGCTGTAGCCATCTTAGAAGTTGCAATGTGTCACCTCATCTGTGAAAAGGGATGGCAGTACTTACCCCTCAGACTGTGGTTCAGTGAGGGTCAACTGCATGAAATATGTGAAAGACAGCACCCAGAAATGCCCATAATTCTGATTTTTCCCTCTCCTCCCGACCCTAAGACTGATCAAGGGTCACAGTCTTGCAAAGCATTTCCACATCTTCCATCACAGCTGGTCCTTATAACCCTAAGAGATGGACCCATTTCACAATGATAAAAAGCACATCCAGGGTGGTATAGACAAGAAAGAGCTTGTAGGCTCAGCGCCTATAGCTCAACCGGCTAAGGCACCAGCCACATACACCTAAGGTGGCGGGTTCGAATCCCCAGCCCGG